GACTCAGATAGATTTTGTGTAAAGGAAAACAGTTAGACATGTGTGTCTTAGCTTACATCAAAAGAAATTTGGAGTTTTTTTGTTTTTAAATAAAATCAGCTTGGAAAAAATTGATATATATTTATTTGTATTACTCAATCTTAGTTCTGGATTAAGCCAAGTAACAAATGGTCATTCACCATCATGCATCTAGAGCAGTGATAGCAAACCTTTTGGGCTTGGTGTGTCAAAAATTTGGAAAATGCCTAACTTGACCCTGCTGGCATGTCACCCCGCTCCCCCGAGCAAAAGACAAACAATTCTTTACATATTCATTTATTAAAAAAAAAATACAGTCCAATCATGTGTGGTGCTTTGATTTTTTTAAAGAAATGTCAAATAATTACAAAAATGAAATATGAGTAAAACAAACTCAGTTTCTTTGGTAACCTCAAACAGGGAGAATAGTTGTTGGGTGTTGGTGAAAACTGGCGTGTCACCCAAAATGTCATGGCACGTCACCTTTGACACGCATGTCATAGGTTCGCAATCACTGATCGCAATCACACAGGATGTACTCTTATGATTTGAATGCTTTTCTCTTTTCTTCTACTTCTGAGTTCTTTAGCATTTTCTTCATAATATTTAAAAATATAACATCTGTCAGAAGAAATTTGTTACTAAATGCAATTTTGTATGCTTACATCTGGCTCCTGCAGGTCTTTTTAGTTTACTTGAGTATTGTTGAGTTGTGACAAAATAGCTCCCAGATTTATTATCTCACAATCTTGCTATCCAAAGATACATTTCTCAGCTATATGGGGTCATATGAATCTGCTACATCTTTGCATAGGTAAGCCATATAATTTCTGCAAGCATTGCAGCATCTTTCAAGACATCATATCGTGTGATACAACTTTGTATCTTGTGATAGAACAAATTTAAACTCTTCATTGAAATATGGATACATGCCATCTCCAGGCCCATGTATTCCCTGTTGGATTGTGATACTTCTACATTCTTCTGCACTTTCATAGATGATCACTAGATCAATTAACATGAAGCTGTGCCCATAAAGCTGTTCTCTTGCTGAACTCTTTTAAGAATGTAAGCAGTGTTATTCTCAATATATTGCAACTTATCTAGCATCCCGTTCCCTATAGGAGTCACTTACCTGCCTTTGGGAAGCCAACGAATAGGACACAAGAGCAACGACCTATTTCTTCCCATTGTTCACTAAAATGGATAAGCAAGAGTTATGCTTCTGGGTGTAGTCTATTACCTTCATAACTAAAACAATGCTAGCATTATCTTCAATAAATTGATCTAATCTTTTGAAGTAATCTAATTAATGATCATAATTATATTCTGTGGAAATGAGTTGTATAGAGTTTTATTATCTCAAAGAGAGATTGCCATTTGTTTTTCCTGAATATACCACTGTTACTTATTAACTTTTCCTTATATTTTAGCTTAATCAAAAATAAATACAACATTTTCTTAAATCTTAATCTGTTGTGTATGTATTATTTTCCTGGGACACATTGGTGTTTTATTTTCATAGCATACCCATCATAGATATATCATGATCTCTATCTCTTCATGTAAAAGGTTTCTCAAAATTATTTTATTGTTTTTTGTATATTGTTCTTTACTCAAGGATATCACAAGTTACAGACATATAAGATGAAAGCCTGAAAAATCAGCATATTTTATTTTTAAAAATCTGCAGGTTTGCATTGTTTCCTCCTCCTCCTCCTCCTCCTCCTCCTCCTCCTCCTCCTCCTCCTCCTCACTTTAAAATGTACATGTATTAGGGATCAACATCTACTTGACTTTTCATTAGTTTCCTAGCGTGTAAATCAGATTGTTTATAGACTAACTCTACCAGGTCTGAAGATCTATAAAATATATGGATTTTTAATCTTCAGTAAGTTCTATGTGCTTTTGGACCCATAGTAAATGCAAATAAAAGGAGCAGTTTCATATTATATTTGATCACGTGGTATCTCTTCCATGGTTGTCCATTCCCTTAGTAAAGACTTTTGGAGGTAAGCCTCCAAAAATATTAGCTGAAGCAAGTTCTCCAGAAACCAAATCTTTCCCACATCCTTCCCTGCAGTTCCTCTTTAAGAGGTGTCAGCATGGCTGAAAGAATGAAGTGGCTCCACATTGTTTGCCTGAACTATTATGTGCTTAACATTTCCATGACAAAAGTGCCACTCGACTTCTCCCCGATTAATGCAGCTTGAGGGCTCTTGTCCTCCTTTAATAAAACGTTGTTGAAATCATTTATTTAGAGTCCCTGGTTACTACTGGGAGAATGACCATCTTTGTGCCAAAATATAGTGTATACAGTTCACTATTTTGTAGTAGATCATTCCATTATTTGAGAAATTGATTAAATGGATTCCTTAGCAAGTATTTATGCTAATACTGCATTACTTTTGTCAGTGTGAGGCTTTTCAACTGTCTACTCCATCCAATTCTTCAAGTAAAATACAGTAGGCCTGTATTCACATATACCCCTTTCATCTTTACTTCTTATCCTATGTTAAGTTTTACATTAACTGCTTTTCTTCTGTAGTATATGTACACACACAGATGTACTTCCTCCTATCTTCTTCTTTATGATGTACATGATCCTGTATTCCACCATAGGGACAAGGCATATTGAAACATGCTGTCTATCCAGCATTCCCTCGCATTGAATTAAGTATTGTGCTATATGATGTACCCAACTCAACATACATGAAACCGTAAGAAAGGCTTCCTGAAACTGCCCATAGCCCATTTTTGAAGTTTTGCCAGCTGGTTACCAGATTGCTGATCATCAGAATATAACTAAACTCAGGCCTTTATTTAATACAAAACTCCCAATTAAGGCAGTTTATGTTGTTTGAAAGGAAGATGTACTGAAAATCAATGATCAGTGTTAAAATGAATATAGTCATGTTTTCCTAAGAGCTATATATCCTTCCAGTAGAAAACTACTGGTGCTTTGCAAAAATATACCATATTTGCATTTTTAAATGGCTAATATTTTTCAAATGCAGAGAACACAAGAATTAGGTTACTCAGTTTCACGTAGGATGCAGTGGAATCAGAATTTTAAAAACCTTAATTCTAGGGAAGCATCAAATCCAATTTCAGGTTACCTATATACTACTACCTCCATATAATGCAGAGGTAGTTTGAAATATAAAATGATTTCTTATTCCATATTGTATGTGATTTTGAAAGGAATAATCTCCATCTCCATTTTTTATGTTTTATTGATTTTATTGTAATTTCTTTGATTGTTGACAGCTGCCCAGTCATTGAGAGTTGGGCAGCATGTGAGTTTAATAAATTATTATTACATTAATCTCACAACTCAGAAATAAATTGGTTAAGACTGTTTGCTTTACTTTCCAGTCATTTGGTTTTCACACTTATTTTCAGGTGATCCATGCCTGCCTACATACACTTTTATATATTGTTAAAAATAAACAGAGGCCTTATGTTATATCCATTGTGCTTGTGTACAAAAGCCTCACAGTGCTCTTGGGTGATCAGTGAAGCTTGAATCTGCCTCTATTTACTGTATGGTCACTGTCAGTTCAATGAACTGCCTTCTTGTTCTCCACCATTGTCTCACACTCCCTTAAACATTTGTCACTGAAGTGCCTCCAAAGACAAATAAACTGTCACTGAGAATTCAAATCTGGTTACTGGGGAGAAAA